CAGGCCCTCAAAATCATGAGGTTGGCTTAAAAACCATTAGATTTGAATAACTGCATAATTACATGTAGCATTTAACAAATGATTTGATATGCACATGCTAATCGCCATATATACATACACGCAATATCACTGATTATGATAAATAGCTTAGGCTGTTATTAATTGGTTTCTTGTGTTTTAGCATTCTCGTTTTTCAAGTTTTTCTCCACTATTAGAAGGACAAGAAATTTCAATTTTAAAACAAGTTAAGCTTCTAAGGGAAAGATTAACCCAACCTCAAGAGCTGCCACTTTAAGGAAAATCCCAAATGTTGTCAATAAGATCTGGCAACACTTCCATTATTTTAATGCTAAATTGTTAATTTGTCATGTGCATTGCAGTCACTGGACTGGTTTATCTTGTGGGCTAAAAAAACAGTTAGAAACTTCAGTTGCAAGAAAAGACTATTCAAACCAACAACTCTATTTCCTAATTGGCCTCACTCCCACCTTCCTTCCTGTCTTTTCACTAAGCTTTTGAATTGACAAAAAAACACTCTGAAAGGGGGGAGACATTCAAAGGACCAAAGTTAGCTGGGTTTCTGCTGGCAGAAACCTTAGTGAACTATCATGATAGGTTAGTACAGGTGAGAGGCATCTTGTCTCCGGCTGAGGGATCAGCACCATACAGAAAGCTCTGCTTCAGCTCATCCCACCACAGGATATGAAACTGTTGCCTTCTAGTTGGAAACCTAGAGAAGGAAATGCTGGATTGGTACTTTTCTTCCATAACAAAACTACTGAAGTGATTCAGTCAGGCCTGTAAGCAGAAAAATTTTACCTGTCCATCATACCCTGTGAATTTGGTCAACAGCATGCATATCACTGATATGGCACTACTGATTGCAGCATGCATATCACTGATATGGCACTAGTGATTGCACCGGTATGGCACTAGTGACAGCAGCAGAGTAAGATCTTTCAAACAGTGAGAGCTGTCATGCTGCTTCTAGCATGTTATGATTTAAACCTTACCAGACACTAACCAGAGCAGCACTGGGTTCATCTACATGTGCAAATGTTGCTGGATGGGTTTACTGCAGACTAATTTAATCCAGAGTAAATCTACCCTGAGCAGGCATCTACACAAGTGAGCATTTGGGAGTAGATTTGCTCCCAATGGGAGCAGCCTGGAGAGGGCTGTTCCCACCCGACTCTACCACTCTGAAGCCTCCAGATGGAGCTCTAAGCTAGCCCAGGGGCTGGCAGGGAGCACAGGGCCAGGAGATTGTCCCCTGCCCCTGAGAACTGCCTGGTACCAGGGCAGGCTTCTGTAACAGAGCCCAGGCGGGGGCAATATCCCTCTAACCTGGCAGCAGGGAGCTCCTGGCCCCTTCTCCATGATTACTGAGCTGGGGCCGGGAGCTCCCTGCTGCTGGGGCCGGGAGCGCCCTGCTGCTGGGGCAGGGGGACATTGTCCCCACCCAGGCTTTGCCATGGGAGCCTGCCCCGGCAGCAGGCAGCTCCCAGAGGCAAAGAGCAATCTCCCACCCCCTGCTCTTGGTCAGCCATCTACACATTCTTTACTGCACAGTAACTACTGTAATTACTGCACAGTAAGGGTCTGCACATGTAGACAGTGATGCTCTACTGTGCAGTAAAGCATCTCATGTAGACATGCCCAATGTGTATGTAGCTGCGTAGTTGGATATACTGGTATTTAGTAATTAAAGGCCTAATTACATAGATATTTAGAGGCCATAGCAGAAATGCTGATAATGTGGCTGTCAGATTCCAGTTAATATGCAAATTCTGCTAAATACCTTGACACTAGGACACGAAAAGGAAGGAGGTAAACAACCATACTCCGATTTGTGGTTTCCTCCTTTTTTTGTGATGAAAAGAGCAAAAGAGACAGCAGTGATAAGCATTCTAATTCAGCAAAGTATGTTTTAAGTGCTTAACTGTTATCGTCACTTGTCCTTTCCTGTTATTGTCACTTGTACTTTCCTGTTAATAGTCTTTCAGTAGCTTTGTTGCTGTCTACATGAAAGAAACCTCTTGTCGTCTCCCCAGAGTTTAGGAACTAGATATCAAAAGCGTAGCATCTTATATCAGTGACCTTCATAAACCTTGCAAATACTGTTATGTTTTTAGCTTCAGAGCTCTGGGATCTAAGGCTGCCTACAGACACTAGCAGCCTGTCAGGGAGGTGCTCTGACTCACGGTGTTTTACACAAAGTGCCCATTAGTTGACACCACTGAACCCAATAGGTATTCACCTATTGGGTTGAGGGTGGCGGGGTGGCGGGGGCTTGAGCCTGCCTGCACCAGCCCTGACCAGCAGGCAGGGACACTCCAGCAGCCTCCCAGGAGGTTGCTGGTCCACACCTCTCCCAAGCCCTGCCCCACTTGTCCCAGCCCGGCTGGATGCTGCCCCTTCTAAGAGACTCAGGTGGGATGGTTTGGGGGACGGAGCCTTCTTCACCTCCTGGCCCCTCCTGGCTGGGGTATTGGAGGAAGCTGGGCCAGGGGGAAGCTCCCTTCCCTCCTCCCTGCCTGAGCCTCTTGACAGTGGTGAGTGCTGGCCCAGCTTTGCCATGGCTGGGGCAGAGGAGCCATGGAATGGAGCCCCCTCACCTCACGAGACTAGCCCAGCTCCCCCAAATACCAAGCCAGGGTAGTTGGGGTGGGGGGCAGTGGGGCAGGGGGGCTCTGTTCCACCCCACTCCCCAAACCTGAGCCAGCAGCTGTGTGTTGCCACTGTCAAGAGGCTCTGGCAGGGGGTGGGGGCAGGGAGCCCCCCTGCCTCAATGGCCCCCTCCTAGGTACCCTGGCTCGGGTACTGGTGCAGGGGGTGGAGCTGGACTGCGTCAGTGAGGTTGCGGGGGGAGGGCACTGTTTCCCAGCCTCTTGACAGCAGCAGCACATGGCTGGTGGTTCAGCTTTGCTGCGGCTGGGGGTGGAATGGAGCCCCTTCACCCTGCAGGTCTGGGCTGGCTCTCCCCAAGACCTAGCAGGGGTAGTTTCCCCCCCCCATCCCCTCCCACCTTACTTCTTCCTCCACCACTGCACAAGGACATTCTCCTCTCTGAGAGCCCCGCAAACGTGCATGGCACGCTGTCAGAATCTCCTGCACTTAACCCTTGCAGGGAACCTGAGCAGAAGCTCCCTAAGGTGCTTTGCTCTGGAGCACCTTCAGCTAATAGCTGATTTAATGAGGGTTAATTTTTTCCACAATAGGCCATTTTTAAAGTTCCCTGTAGCTGTGAACATGTTATGTCATGGCTGTAGAGTGCTTTCAGGGGCCTTAGTGCATGAAAAATGTAACTTGTATAAGCATCCTTAATGTACATGGGGTGAAAGCAGGATGAAATTTCATTAACCAGAACCAGAACATTGACCAAACAGAATTTTGTTGAATGGTGCAGAGTTTGGACAGAACCTAGGCTAGCTTTCTTTGTATTTGAAAATCATTTGACACTGCTGGGTTTATTTGGTTTGTACTTCTAGGAGGGAGTGGCAGCTTCATGCAGTTTTCTTTTGAGTTTCAGGATTATTTGGATTTGAAAACCAAAATAAAACTCTTAGGTTATGAATTTACATGACTCAAAGAGCTAGAAGGTTGCTAGAAGTCTTCTATAATCTAAAACAGCTCTTAATGAAGAGTAATTTTCAGAGTAAAAGGTGACTGTAATGCTCCGAGTTTCTTTCTAATTAAAATGTTCTCAGTTTACAAGTAAACATGTTTTGCTTATTTTAGTGTCAATTCTGCAAATTTAACCTAGGAATTAGAAGATGGGTTGGGTCTTTTCCATTCACAGTCGGTAAATGTAAACTGATATTCACTCAAAGTATACTTAGTCCACTAGAAATGGATCCTTAAGCGTAAAGATTCTGCAGCTCATAATTCTTGTGCAGTTGCAGGGATGCTGGCAAGCCAGAGCCGAACCCAGTTAACAATCCTACTAGATGGTGTCTTGTATACCACTTAATACCATGTCCATCATCATGTTATTTGATCACCCTCTAGAATAATAGTTCTCAACCTTTTTAGATTCATGGCACCCCTCATTGCCTAAACTATCCCTCAAGGCACCCCTCAGAAAATGCTAGCTCTTAGCTCTCACTTGTTTTTTGACTACAGAAAAATAATCAAGCAATTGTTCTATTGCAAGGAACTCAAACACAGCGAGTCAGAATGCCTTTGGCACTGTGGAATCCTATTTGAAATCTCTGGGGTTTATATTGTGAATCCTGTATAGGTGCTAATATTGAGGTGCACCCCATGGCAACCTTAAAATGATATCATGGTCTCCTAGTTGAGAATCATTGCCCTGGAAGTACAGTAACTTTTGTAACTAACCACATTTATTCTCCAGTGCTAACAGCTCTAAGAGATAGTAGATGGAAGCCACTTGTCACTATTTTACCTTGCAGCTAAAATAAGGTGAGAAGGATTCACTGCTAGCTAAGCTAAATTTGTCTAGTAAGCATTGTAGTTGTAAGTCACAAGTCACCTGTTGTTAGATGCCTGTTTACATGGCTGTGCTGCTTCCCTTGGCATTTGTAGAGGAAACTATGTAAACATTTCTTTCTTACCCCTCTTCTAATTGGGCACAGGCACCCCAAAAACTTGAGTTTTTTCCAGGTTATGATACATATTCCTGAAGAAGCCCTTGTCAATTCTCAGCACATGATTGGTTCAGACTTTGAATAATGAAAGATATCTCAGAGATCCAAATGAATCAGACTAATTCTTAGCACAGGCTAATTCTAAATAAAAGCTGTCCATTACAAGTTCTTTCTTAAGGCCTGTTTTTTATGATACTGATTACACGGCAGGAGATCACAGCTCATTAATAGTATTTATGAAGGCTTCTATGAAATTGCCAGCCTTGTTTTCTTGAAGATAACTTGGAACACTAACATAGCATAAAAAGTTACACAGAATGGCCTCAATTTTCAGATATATTCTGTATCTTTACAAATTACTTTAGAAAAAAAATTAAAAATTCTTACCTGAATTGTTTTGTGAGATGAGTTTTCAGCACAAAGCTTTCAATTTTTATCTGTTGAAATGAATGAAAGTCTTCAGTAAAGCTTTAAGAATATTTAACAATACATTCCTTAATTATAAGTGATTTTTCAATTCTCTCCTTGGCCAAACTGTAAGTATTCATTTATACCTTTACATAACTTGTAAGCATATGCTGTGAAGTTTGAGTGGTGGAGTTTAAATAATGCTCAGATTATTGATTAACAGTTGATGATCCAAAAATTATGCTGAGCTCAAGTCAGACTATCACTGAACTTTGAACACACTTCCTAGTTCAGTTTTTTTCTGCTTTATGCATCCTTGGCTAGCACTGGCTTTTGACTTTGTATGTTTGATGAATGAGAATGAAGGACTGGTTCAAGGTCAGGTGCATTTTGGCAGTGTCTGGAAGGGTAATAAAGTTGCCTTTTTGGTTAGTTCTTAAGGTAGGATACTAGGAGGTCAGGGTTACATCATATCACTAATGGCTAAACTTTTACAAAATGGATGCAGTGAAGTTTAGAAGACTCTGCAGCAAGGACCATTGTTTGTACAGTGTTTGTAGTGCCAAATCTTGTTTAATTCTGGCCCACTAGTGTTCTTGTTTTGCCTTTGAGCAGTACAAAAATAAATAAAAAGACTTATCTACCAGCCCAGGATGTTACTTGATTCTTAATGTTTGTTAGGGCAGTGTTGCCTAATAAGAACTGAGCTGGATTCACAGAGCTCCAGTGGACATGTGCAGAGCCTGCTCTGACATCCTGGAAATCCAGAGCATTGGAATAGACTCGATTAATCAAGTCTGCTGGAGCATGGAAATTGGCACGCTCTGGCAGCCTTCCATGTTACATGTACCAGCATCCCTGCGTGTGTCCGCACTGAAAAATAGCAGTGGGGTGCTTTGAAATAAAACATGTTCAATGAGCTTTAGTTCAAAGCGCCCTGCCACCATTTTTTCAGCACAGGGATGCAGATGCACATGATACATGGATGCTTTTAATTAGTGCAGCTTCATAATTAAAGCGCTGAGTACCACGTCCCAGAGCACACGTAAAATGCCCACAATGCCTGGCCTTATTGCTTTTGAGCCAGCATCTTACCAGACTGTCCCCCGGTTGACCTTATGTTTAAAATACAGCCAGTGATATTGACCTCCTGGGTAAAGCACTGAGAGATCTACTGAAGAGAAGTGCTAAAGAAGAGTTGGGAACTATCAGTCAATATTATTCTAAAATGAAGAGAGAATCTCAAATGGGAGGTAGAAAGCACTTAGATTAAAAAGCCATGACATTGGATACCAGAGGAAGAGGTGCATGATGGAGCCCCTGCACAGTCACCATACTTAGCCCCTGGGGATCCAAGGTGGGGTAGGGAATGAAGGGAGATTACATGTTTCATCTAGGTCAGTGGTTTTCAAATTGTGTTCCATGATACCCTGGGGTTCTGCAGCAGGTCATAAAGATTTCCCCAAAGATATTGAGGGTAATGGCAGAATGGGCCAGGAGGCAGTGTACCGCCATTGACAGGCCAGGTTGCTTGGCTCCATATCACCTCTCACAGCCTGCAGGGTCAGGGCTCCACAGCAGAAGTAGTAATATGAAAAGGTTCCATGATTTAGGTAATTAGGAAACTACTTTGTTCTAGGTAATATCGAGTTAGTGAAATGGATTCCATCTGTAAAACAATCTGGTTGTTAATAAACCCTTGAAATTATTAATAGTGCTCTTCTGGTGTGACATTTACCATAGTTTCATAGTTGGTAGGGTCGGAAGGGACCTGAGCAGATCATCAAGTCCGACCCCCTGCCATGGGCAGGAAAGAATGCTGGCGTGAAACGACCCCAGCAAGGTGTCTATCTAGCCTCCCTTTAAAGACCCCCAGGGTAGGAGCCAGCACCACTTCCCTTGGAAGCTGGTTCCAGATCCTAGCCGCCCTGACTGTGAAGTAGTGCCTCCTGATATCTAGCCTGAATCTACTCTCCATCAACTTATGGCCGTTATTTCTTGCTACTCCCAGTAGTGCTTCGGGGAACAGGGACTCCCCCATTGCCTGCTGGTCTCCCTTGGCCAGTTTATAGATGGCCACCAGATCCCCTCTCAGCCTTGTCTTGTGGAGGCTGAACAGGTTCAGGTCTTGTAGCCCTTGTAGGGCCTCCCCTGCTGCCCCCTGATCATGCGAGTAGCCCTCTGGACCCTTTCCAAATCCCTCCCCCATGCTTGTTCTCATTCCCAAAACAAATGAGCTTCTTGAAGTTTGAGTAAAGCCCTTGTCCTCCACTCCTTTCTTCTTGGATAAACTCCTAGTACAGGCAAAAAGCTAAGCATACTATAGGTCAGAGGTTCCCAACCAGTGGGCCATGGAGGCACCTAAGATGGCTGCAGAGTAGATGTAACAGGAGTGGGGTTGGGTGGTCTTCCCTCCCCAAATGTTCTCACAGCACTAGGCAACATTATGCTGTCGGAGAGGCAGGTAAGGATCGGGCCCCTACCCTTGTGTACATGCCGTGGGGGTTTAGTTTGGTTTAATTTTCCCTAAATTGAAGTGGTGTTTTTAAAAACCCACTGTTTCAATTTAGGGAGAACTAAACTGAATTAAACACCCGTGGCATGTATAAGCACCTCTAGGTGACTTCTTTCATATGCCATCCAAGGGGCCCACTCCCTTCCCCTTACTATCACAGTATCCCTAAAGTCACTAGAGCAATAGATTATTTGATAAAAGGAACATATTAAAATATTCAGCCATCTCATGTACTTGCAAGCTGGAAACTGTCAGCCAGTATGGTTTTGTAGAATCATAGAGAAGGCAAGCTAGAAGGGACATCCAGAGGCCATCCAGTCCAACCCCCAGCCTGAGGCAGGACCAACCCTATTCAAACCAGCCTAGACAATCCATAATCTAAACTCTTTGTAAAACTACTGTCAACTGTACTATTGACACAACACATGGCAGCCAATGTCCTGCTTCTATAAAAGGCTGTTAATATACACTTGAGACAAGACTGTCAGGCACACAGGTTCAGTCTTTACAGAGCTTTAATTGTATTCCTTTAAGATGAAGTCAAAGTACAAAGCAATCCTTTCTCCCATACCTGCTGTCTTCTGCAGTAACCTACTCCCTGCAGGAATACACTCTGCACCCCACATGCCTCAGTATGAAGGAGGAGCTCCCCTATCTGTTTGCCTTCTTAGCTTGTTACAAACAGAATAACACTTAACATTCTAGGCAGGAGACCTGTGACCTAGGTTCTTTCTCTTGCTCCCAGCTTCAGCACCCCCACAGTTGGGATACCACATCAGTTTCAGTCTGTGAAGTGGGACACTGCGTCAGCTGCAGTCTCAGCCACAGAGGTGCATGAAGCATCTTTGCACCTGGAATGCCAAGTCAGTTGCAGTATCCTTGCTTCCAGAACCTCTGCGAGGCATGCATGGATGGGAGTCCCATCAGCTGAAGGGCAAGGGGAGCCTAGGATTGGGTTTCCACTGCACCAGCAGTATGGTGTGATGGGATCTGATTTGTGATCCCGCAGTCATACCTCCTGCCATACACATGTGGCGTAGTAGGAGGTGCGATTGTGTAGATCATGCATTAGATCCCATCATATCTTTACCTGTACATGTAGAGGGGCCCTAAATGTACAGCAAGAAAGTCTGGTTCTGCTTGCAGAGTTATGAGAAAGCCTAGTGGGCCTGACTTATCCACACAAAGCCAAACACAGTGCCACTGGATGGTGACAGGCAGGTACCAGAAAGGGCAGGAGCAAGAGAAGCTCATCATATTTGGGCTGGAGTTCTGTGAGGGAAACCAATGAAGGTGGGTTAGACCAGGTTACAGAAAGGTGGAAACAATGATAAGCTCCTATCTTTTTGTAAAAGGTAGAGGTTTTCCAGTGCCTGCTTCCTCTCTTCTTATGCTTTGGGTCAGGTATATTCTCTGTCCTCAGGGTGATGAATGTGGGAAGTGAAGGGAATTTTTTTCTGGGTTTTGTGTGGAAAAACTAATTACCGTTCATTGAAAAAGGCCTTACGCTGTAGGTCAGAGAACAGAGTAGCTTTGGACTTTAGCATCCTAAAGCATTTTCTGTGACTTCACTTGTTCATTTTTATTTTCAATGGTTGCCAACAGCAGAGACAGCAAAGATCATCATCGGAGCTCATGCATACTCCAACTTCTAAAGCACTCACAGCAAAGACAGTTGAAGCAGGTGGAGGAGGTATAGAGGGTTTAGAGCAAAAAGGGGCACTTCCTTGAATGAGGCAGTGTATGTTCCTCAGACCCCTCCTCCCAGGCATTGTTCATGTATTGTTAAAAATAGTAGCAATTTATGAAGTCAGTCATAAAGGAGAATGTCCAAAGTCTTGGTTTCTTAGATGGTCATGAATAAAATCACACCTTCAGAATATGCAGTGCAAGATATGTAGCCACGTTTATTTATATTCATTCATATAATTGTCCAGGTAGATGGTAATGCAAGGATTTATAAAATACAAGTAGTAGGGTCAGAGTGTTGTTGTAGCCATGATGGTCCTGGAAATGTTGAGAGGCAAGGCTTTTTATGATACTGTTTATTGAACCAATAGTTTAGGTGGGAAAGCAGCTGAACAAGGTTTTGGGCATTAGGTACCCTTCCTCAGGTCTGAAGGGGATGCAGATGCAGGTTGAGCTAAATATCAAAGAAAAGACTCCATGTGAATGCAAATAGTTTCTTTGGAGGGATGGAGGAGGGCTGTGAGCTAGAAGCGAAAAGGTGTGAACAGAAGCCATTATATTAGTTATAAGGCAAAAATGCAATAGAAGAGGCAATCCAGTTAGTGGCAGAATCGGACCATTCAGGAAGGTGGCAGTTACTACCTGTGAGGTGGAGGGAGATGATTGGCAGTCGTAAGGTTTTAATGAGACATAGCCATTGTCTATATGAAGACCAGATTTTTTACTGCCCAGTGGAATTATGAATTTCTATTCTCAGGCTTGCCTTTTGGAGATATTTTGTAAATTCCCTTTGAGCATGAGGATTGTGAGGTCAGAGAGAGAATGGTTGTTTCGTGAAAAATATATTCATGCCAGCATGTGTATATTTCTGTCCTTTTTATATTTTCTATGAGAGTTCATTCTGGCATGTAGTTCCTGTCTAGTTTCATCCCCATAGTTTCCATGGAGGCATCTGGAAT